ATATAAGATATAATAAATAATAATGTAGGAAAATAAGAAGCACTGCATTCGTTTTTTACTAGTACTCCAAAACAAGTCGAATAAGCTGACGTTAACGGAGCCACCAGCTCTTGCAGTGCGATTTCTAAATTAGTTGCGTAATGCTGGTACAACAGGAAAATCTTGCTGACTAGACAGTGTGTTAGTGGGTGTAACATACTGCTGTTAACAGATGGGCAACACAGGAATGAACAAGGAAAAGCAAAACAAAAAGTAAAACAACAAAAAGTGACACAGCATATGAATCTTCTCATTTTCTGAGATAACTAGGTCCAGTAGTAGTAGAGCGTCTCCCTCCTCCCTTCTGCCCTGAAACACTTCACTGTAGAGCATTAACAATCACCAATTTGAACATCACCTCAAAAAAATATATAGTTAAGATTTCTCCATTATTGACTTAAAAATAGAGAAAATCTACTTTTTAATACCCACAGAAACAACAACAAAAACAAACTCTTAATTTGAAGAATTCATTAACTAAATGAACAGATGATAACGAGACCATAACGAAACCCAAAACCACATTGAAACTGCAAAATGTTTTGGATGCAGGTGGTCATTTAATCCAGATTTTCATATTGTACTTCTGTTTTATTTTTTGTTTGTTCCTTTAACATAATGCAGAAAAAGAGCTTTTAGTATGGCTGCACTACTTGTCACTCATATTACAGCCCCAAATCAGAAAAAGTTGGGATGGTATGTAAAATCAAAATTAAAACTGAAAATTGATTATTTGTAAGTAATGTAAAGAGGTAAAACAATGAAGTGATGACTCCATTTGAAACAAGTGATGTCAACAGGTGTTTAAAAGCAATGTTCCTCAAAGAAAAATAGGAAGGGATTTGAATATGTCACACTCTCTGGTGCAGAACATAATTAAAAGATTCAAGGAGTTTAGAGGGATTTCAGTGTGTAAAGGGCCAAGCCTGAGCTGGATGACCGTGCTCTCCAATCCCTCAGACAGCACTGCATCAAGAAAGTGATATAACCAATGGGCTCAGGGTTACTTTGGCAATACGATATGTAGTTACATACATAAATGCTGCTTAAAACTGTTCTGTGCCAAAAGGAAGCCCTATGTCAGAAGTGTTTATTTTGAACAAAGAATAAAGTTGATGACGTATCACATCAGGTAATGTTCTGCTGTATTGTTTTCAATGTAATACAGGACAGATGACTTACACATCATCTCTTTTCAGTTTTAATTTTGATTTGTATATGCCGTCCCTACTTTTTTCTGATTTAGGGTTGTATATTGTAGAAAGAATCTGATTCCATGTAGTGAAATGAAGGCAGCAGCAGAACACGACCGACTGACCACTCAATTTTACTGCACCATGTACTTTCTACAGCTGTGTAAACACACACACGTTACAGCTATTCCAAACTAGAAACAAAAGTGATGCATGTGTTTTATGGCTTTGTTCTATTAATTTTGATTTCCTGTCATACATGGAGACTGGGTGCACAAGGGTCTAGTCTAATGACTTTGGAGAGAGGAGAAGAAAGAGAGGTACAGAAACCTTAGAGAGAGAGAGAACAGCCAGTATAGACCTGGAAGGTGGCTCGGGGTTCGAGTTTCCCGGGTGTGAGGCCCGTGTGGACCTGCTCCCAGTCACCTCCAGAGGAATGAGGAGCCTTTCTGGGTAAAAAGACACAGCACACTATTATCATCAAGGGGGACACACACCATCATGGCTGAAGCTTTTGTAGAGCTGCAGTCTGCTGATTCTCAGTGGGATCAGTGGCTCTAGTACTCCTTCCTTATTACAGTGATCCATTTGATTCAGTGTTTATCATTTTGCTTTTTGGAGTTTTAACCTCACCAGCTATAGACAGCTTTGATCCTGATGTGGCTAATTAAAGTGGATAAAAAAGATTTGGCTACAAAAACAGAACGAGCCTTTGACATATATTTTACCAGTTAGTTGGTTGAACAGATTCAGATACAATACGACTCTAATACACTATTTCAGAATGAACTGTCTCACATGACACTGGATTAACTAAGATCAAGGAAGTGTTGGTGTTACTCGGGTGTACATGCACGTGTGTTTATCTACGTCAGGTGAAGGTGTGTATGGAGGCAAGTCTGGGCAGTTGGGTGGGGTCACGACAGTGACATAATATTAGGAGGCACTGGGTGGAGATCCAGGAGAGCGAGGGATAAGAAGGAAAATCACAGAGGAGACAGAGAGTGTGAGTGTGTCGCTTCAGGTCTTGTGTGTGTGTGTGTGTGTGTGTGTGTTGAACCGACAAAACCCAAAGTGTGTCGTTTGTATGCGTTTGCTATGAGGTATGTGTTTGAAGAAGGGAGAAAGAGGAAGCAATGCAGAGACCCAGCAGCTGTCATGTAAGTGCGTGTCTGTGTTTGGGGTGTGTGTTTGCTGTGGTGCTCTCAGGTTGTTACCTGTCCTTCACTGTTCAGTCTTTCCAACCTTCTGGCCTCACTCTGGGGATTCAACTCTGAATTCGATCAAACTGTTCAGTCGTAGCTGCTGTGCTACTCAGCTTGGTAACTGTTTTGGGTGACCTTCAGTCAGTTTGGGGTTTTTTTAGGTTTAAAGGTGTATGAAGTCCTTTGAGGCAATAAATAATATGAATAAGATTGACTTGATTTGACTTCACTTTGTCTTATTAAGCCTCATTGCTTTGCGTTTAGGAAGAAATGTATTTCTATTATGGGGTAGTTTAAAAAGCGTTTAAGCCCTTATGTCATGTGTTGTGTTGTGTCGTGCTGGACTAGAATGTCTACTTCGCAATTTGACATTTTCCTTCAAATTGAATGTACATAGTCAATAAAAATATTATTACAAGCAGTAGAAGTATCAGTACTAATAAATATATTACAGTTACATGGCTAAATATAAGAAGGTAAAGGTGAATGTGCTGAGCTTTAGGTTTAGCATCAGTTTTGACTGTCCAATGGGTCAAAAGATAAATCTGAGAGCAAAAAATAACAGTGTACTAATGTTTGTACTTGTCCATTTAATCTTAGAATTTTTTTGTTAAAAATTACTTGAGTTCTTAAAAACTATTTGAATAAAACAAAGTGAATAACCTGGTCAGTGCTGACTATCAGATGCAGCCACTGAAACCCCCCAGTCACCCTTGATTTGTCCTTCTGTACTTCCTCTCTTGTTCTTTGGCCTTTTCTGTTATAGATTTGTGTCTTTGTATTTAATCTTTGGTGGTCGGGAGTCACAAGTCTAATATTTGTCACTGATGTGTCTTTGAGCTTTGGCCTCATCGCTGTTTGTTTAAGGGAATGAAGAACTGTTGTGATTATTGTCAGTCTTGAGGTTTGACATGTCAGGTCTCCTTCTGTAACAGCTAAAACCCATGGTCTGTGCAGAAAATATTTAAGCAATTATAATGTAGCTACCATTAAAGTTACTGTACCTTTCAGTCTGCTTTTCCACTGACTGGCTTTTCCAATTCTTTTATCTTTGTACTGCAGTTCTCCAGAGATCAGTTCATCCTGGACTGTCCTTCAGAGAAACTTCGCAGAGAGCTGGAGGTGGAACTGAAGATGAACAGTGAGGAGCCGAGAAGTCACGCATGGTACCACGGAGCAATACCCAGACAGGTAACGCTCAAACATAGTGTAAGTCAGAGTCACAGTCCCTCCTTTTAAAGCCTGGTTAAAACTTGCCGAGCCAGATGACCTATTATTAGACTGCCACACAGCACTTACAGAAAGATTATAGTTTAAATAGAAGCCTGTGCAGCAGAGATGGGGTTATATCATTTGGTCACTGTGTATAAAAAGCCCTCTCTTTGTATGGTGTGTATATATTAAGTGTGTGAGTAAGAGAGGGAGGTTGTGTGTTCCCTGTGAAACCCAGGTCTGAGATGCAATCATTTTTAATAAGCTGCTTCCTTCGGCTAAACTAAACTACCATTATATACTATACAAACACTTGCTTAATGAAAGTCTAACTGTGCGTGAAGGGTTTTGTGTATGTGGTAGTGGGGGGGCTGGTATTACTCATGTTGTGGGGACTTAAATTGGTCCACATAGTCACACTGTGTGTCAGAAAGAGAGCAGATGCTTCACTTCAGGCGGACAGGTCAAAAAGAGTCTGGATCCAAAACATCAGCATAAAAATGTACAATCTTTTTTCTAGCTAAATTCAGTTTGTGTCCTACATAAGCAGAAGGTAACAGCCTACCATTATTAGATTGAATTAAATGTTTGGACTATAAACAAACACTGTGTGCGAGCCCGTGTGTAACCCTCTGTATTGTTGCAGGTTGCAGACAACCTGTTGCAGCGTGATGGAGACTTCTTGATTCGTGACTCACTGTCCAGCCCAGGAAGTTATGTTCTGACCTGCCAATGGCGAAATGCTGCTCAGCACTTTAAAATCAACAAGAAGGTAAAAATAAATACAGATTCAAAGACAAACAGTTAAGGTGAACATTACTGTAAACTCTGTCACCTAAAACTGCTAACGTTGATGTTACTGTTTCCAGCTAAAGATTTTCTTTTATAGATTTAATGAACACAAAAACATTACACAATATAAAACAAAAACACAATTAAGACAAACAGTGATGATTATCACTTTGAAACTTTTCAAGTTTTAATATCAGAAGAAGTATTTACTGTAACTGAGCTTTGAGCTGAAGCTAATGGTACTCAAATGGTTGAATACCACTACTGTGACATTAAAACAATAACTGATAAATGAAGACATTTGTTCCATCTGTCCTTCAGGTAGTGACGCTGAATGAAGCCTACTCCCGAGTCGAGTACCGGCTGGAAAGAGAGGGATTTGACAGTGTCCCTGCACTTATTCGATACTATGTCGGCAACAGAAAACCCGTCTCACAGGTGGGTCTGGTGATGTGGTTTTCTTTTTAACTCATGAACAGTTTTTATGGAAATTCACAGGTTCTTTGACATAGATGATTTGTCAGCAAATCTGTTTTCAAAATTGGAACGTACTCAGAATCAGGCAGGGGCTTTATTGGTCAGTAATGCAATTCCTGAGCATCTAAAGAGAACATTTGATAGAGAAAACATGTTTAGTTTACTGCAGTTTGTCTCATTTGTTCTTCTCTGTGTATATTCATTTTTAAGGTGGTGGGAGCCATTATCTTCCAGCCAATCAACAGAGAGCTGCCGCTACGCTGTTTGGAGGAAAAGTACGGAATAGCCAGCAGCCCTCGAGAGGCGGGGCCCGTGGCGCAGGAGAGACAGAAACGTCTCAGCCTCAACATTACCAACGGAAACATACACGACAACACGCACATCGTGCGTGACAGCACACACTGCCAGGACAACGGCACGGGCCGAGGCAGCCAGCTCAGGTTGGTCCTTCACTGCTCCCAGAAACCCACACAAACACACAGAGGACCCAGTGGAAGATAAGAAGTACTTTTACTTGAGTACTGTACATAGACTAAATACAGTTGAGTACTTGACTATTTCAATTTATTTCACCACATTTTAAAGATGTTGTATTTTTACTGCACTGCATTTATTTGATCTGCTACTAAATTCAAACACATTGTTTAGTGAAAAAATTAAGCAAATGTAGTCCTTAATTGGACAAAATGTTTCTGTTATGATGTGTAAATACGTTTGTTGATGTTCACGCACTCAGGTTGAAGGATCGCTGTGGCAGCCAACCAGCGAGCCTCAATCAGGTGCAGGAAAGGCGACGCCCACTCAAGGCGCACCAATCAGAGAGTTTCCTTCCTCTTGGTAAGTACCAGTTAGATTCTGAAGCCCTCGGTGGGCTTCAGGCTACCATAGTGTACGACAGAGCTGAGGACACCCATATCACTTGGATGATTAAAGATCAATTTTTTATAAAATTAAAAATGTACAGCTTAGATTTTCTATAAAGGCCCCACAGTAGGAACTCAATGAAACAAAAGTCAGTACGCTTTTTATTACTGCGAATCAGATTGTTCATATTTCAATACTTTGTCTGTCCACCTTTATTTTTGACTTGGTCCTCCAGGAGGATGGCGGACACCAGGGCACATTTCTGGAGACATGTTCTTTAGAAATGGTTAGTTTCAGAGGTTGTGTTGGGTCTAAAATGCCCCCATAGGTGTTTTATTGGATTCAAGTTGGGCAACATACTTGGCCTGGTCACAGGCTTCACGTTTTTTTTTGTTAGAAACCCTTGTGTGATTTTTGCATCATCATCCTGCTGGAATATTCCTCTATGCTGAGCTACTGGAGAGAGTCTGGGAGTCGGTGTTCTGGTATATCCCCAGGCCTCCATGGTGCCTGGGGACTATGCGGTCACTGTGCTGGTCCTGTCCAGGTTTGTGCCAAACATGCTGGACCCCATCTGAGCTAAACAAATTTATCTTGGCCTCATCTGACTGAAGAATGTGCTCCCAGTATCCCCCAGCTTGTGTTTCTGTTCTGTAGCAAAGGTTTGAGATGAAGAGCAAATTTTTTGTTTTTCTTGGATGTTGTCCATAGAGGTGACATTATGCAGCGTCCTTCACTCTGAAACCCCAGTTTCCATTGATAACCCCTGTGCTGAGTCTGAAGCACTTGCCTGTTTTTCAGAGCTGGCTCGTGCAAGTAGTGTGGTGTCATTTTAAGAGGGCAGGTAATTGGAAAACCAGGTGTGCTCAGTTTTTTTCTTCAATGATCACAGGTTTTCCAACTTGTATGTCAGTGATCACAGGTGTGGTCACTTTTGTTACAGTGAGTTTCTACTGTGGGACCTGCTCCTAAGAGTTGTAATCGATTTGAATGTACATTAGCACCTTCTCATCTCTTATTCTCCCTCACGTCTCACGCTTGCCTCTCATCTTCTCCTTTGTCGTATCCCTTCATTCCTTTACTTGTCCTCTTTATTTTCTGGTTGTGTTCCAGGATCAAAACCACAGCTCCAGCAGTCTCCTGACCCTCTCCTCCCCAGCCCTAACCTCAAGTCTGCAGTGTTTCGGACAGGCAGTGAGCCAGCACTGAGCCCATCTGTTCCACGGAGGTCAGCAGAGCCTCTCACAGGTCAGTACACATGGTGGAAGCCACTAAAAAAACTAAAATCTCACAAATACCAATCTGGTGTGTATATGCTGCTTAGTAACTACATTATTCACGTGTTGCTTTGGATCTAGTTCAGCATATGGTGTAGTCTAAGAACAGTCATGTAGCCGTATGATAATGACTTTGTTTCATTTTATACACTATCAAACTGCACATTAGCCCATACACATTCAATACAAATACAATATAGTATACCGCTTCAGTAGTAATGAATGTCTAGAACACTGTTGCTGTCAAATAAATCAGAAACAGCCTGTGCAATTTTGTTATTCATAATAAACACTTTTCATACATTTAGATGTAAAAGCGTGTGATTCATAAGAGGTGCAAAACCTAGAAATGTTGAAAAAGGAAAAGAAAAAAACAGCAGTAAAGTAGGTGAGGTTTGTTGCTCCTGTTGCTAAATGTCTTAGCTGTTGTAAAACACAAACATCGCTGCTGGTTACAATACGAGTCGAGGATAAAATAAAGCAGCCTGGTTCCAGAGCCCTGCATTGCCACACTCATCTCCAATTTGTTCGACTCCTATAGTTTGGGTGAAGTGCAACAAAAAGGCAGTTCAGTCTGACGATTATGTTAAAAGCAAAGCTGCTGTGCATGCTAATAAAAACCTGTGGGGCTGTTGAAATTACTTCAACATGTAGGTGTAAGCTCTCTCCTTATTTGCTCTGGCCATTGTTTGTAAGTGAATAGGAAATAAATTTATTTTTGTGCTTTCATGCATGCTGTGGCTCTGATTAAAAACTTCATCCCAATAAAATGAGTATATCTGATGAAACACACCGTGGTAATGACATCAGTGTTTGTGTGTGTCCAGGCCAGGCCATCAGGGGCTCTGACAGTCAGCTCTGTCCTAAACCACCACCCAAACCCAGCAAGGTGCTAGTGCCTCGGCTGCCTCGCTCACCTGGCCTTCAGCCCCTGGTTCCTCCCTCCAGCCACACAGATTCCTCCTCTACCTCCTTCGGGCTCACTGCTTCTCCTCTGGATTCCACGTGTACGGAAACACCTGCTTCTACATGGAGGAGTGGAGGTACATTTTTCTAAGTGTATATGGAAAAACGATAATTTCTCAGGAAATATTGGTACTTTGAGTGACTGGTGACATTTCCAGTTTTCCTGCTTTCATTTACTGGAAACCTACTGGAACAGCAGAGCTTCACAGGTAGCATTTTAAATGAAGCTTTAGTTAAAGGTTTTAGGAGCAGGACAGAACTTCCTGAACTACTTCGAAGCATTCATGCATTCTTCTAATATGGATGCCCCCTCATTCCACACACTTTAAATACTCACATAATATTGTTAGATATTTGACATGGTTCATGAAACCAGATAAAACAGTTAATGTTTACAGCTCCTTATTAAATTGGCCAAATCAAATGAATTAGACCAGGTACTGGAGTTTTTCTCTGACAGTGGTACCGTGGTTTTCTAAACAACTGTGTGTTGATTTAGCACAGAAAACATGAAACTACCCCCATTTTCCACTCTGATGTTCCTGCAGTTTTTTTATTTATACGTATTCAAAACAAATGTTTACACTTACTTGAGCCCTTGATATTGTAGCTATTAAAAATTCCCAATATCGCAACATAAAACTACAACTAGGAGGCAGATGTGAAGACTTTTCATAGTCAGCTGCTGGTAGAATACGGATCAAAGTTTTTTTCTTAACATCAGATGTAAATTTGGAGACATGGTAGCACAAAGCCCCAGCAACAGTAGCCACTACTCATTAATTACAGGAGGCAAAAGTATTTCAGTTAGTCTGCAATTTACTGTATATAGTATCACACAACCTTTTTAAAAACACTGGACTATAAACATTGTAACATGTCACTCAGACCTCAGTTCTCCATCTTATAATGTTTTTAGATTACATGCTGCTTTAGCTTAAGTGAAGTATTTTGTCTAGTACCAAGTATCTTTAATCATTAATATATGGACTTTGGAGGGTACATGTAGAATAATATCATCTCTCTCCCTTAGCTAAACAAAAGTAAAGGAATTAAAATGATGCAGTGATTCATGAATGTGACCGTTGTCCCACAGCCAGCACCGTCCCTCCTGTGCCACCAGTGAAGCCCCTGAAGTTTCACCACCAGCTCCTCGCTGCAGACTACCACAGCCCCTCCGGTTCTGTAGCTTCATCACCTGAACCGATTCAGTATCCAGACCCTGAGGCAATCTCAGGACAGACTGAACAGCCGCAGCTGAGCTCTGCACACTTAGGGCCCCACAGCCTGCTGGAGTGGGAGGAACTAAATTCACCAAACTCCATTGCAGACAACAGCCTGGACATTCAGCCACCGCTCTGCAGCTACGTGGAGAGACTTGGTAGAGAGGAGGCGGCGGCAGGACAGAGAGGACTGGACAGAAGTTCCTACCATCACGCCATCGCAGCCTTAGAAAACACCAGTGAGGAAGAGGAGGACGACGGAGGGAAGGAGGAGGAGGATGAGCAAGAAGACAAGGGGAGGGAGAAAGGAAGGAGCAGTTTCCAGCGGCCGGTCATAGAAACCGAGTCGACTTTCAGACCAGCAGAGTTCGGATCTCGACTTCTGCCGCCAGAAAACAAACCGCTTGAGATGGTGGTGCTGAAGAGAGCGAAGGAGCTGCTGCTCAGCCACAGTCACCACAGTATAGCCAGACACCTGCTGATGGCCGACTGCCAGGTACGATGATGTAATGATCAGTGTCTTTTTGAAGACACTTTGGTCCACAGTTAAGCATTTATAGTTTCTTTACCACTTTACATGGGCTCTGGTCCATAGTCATCACTACATTGTATTTTCACCTTTTTCCCAGTTTCTATCATCAGAATGCTGAATTTCTGACTTGGATAAATCAGATATGTCAGCATTTCATTATAAAATGCAATCATGACAGTGACCAAAAGAATAAGATAGCGACTACAGGCGGCCGAAATGAGTTTCCTTCACAGGGTGGCCTGACTTACCCTCAAAGATAGGGTGCAGAGTTCAGACATCCAGGAGGGTCTCGGAGTAGAACCGCTGCTCCTTCACATTGACAGGACCCAGCTGAGGTGGTTCGGGCAGGATGCCTCCAGGGCGCCTCCCTTTGGAGGTTTTCGGGGCACGTCCATCTGGTAGTAGACTGGGGCAGACCCAGAACATGCTGGAGAGATCATATATCTCATCTGGCCTGGGAACACCTCGGAATCCTGCCAGAGGACCCGGAGGATGTTGCTGAGGAGAAGGATGCTCGGGCTACCTTGCTGAACCTGTTGCCACTCTGCCCTGATCTCAGATAAAGAAAATGGGTGGATGGGGATGGATCATGATAAAAAATCTTTTTACATACATTTTTTTTTATAAACGCTTCTAATAGAGTTAATAAGTGGTGTTGGTCCAAGGTAGTAGTCAAACAACGCCATAACATAAATAATACCATCTCTAAAGTATTAGTAAACAATTTAATAATCATCGATAAAGCCTTTAGTTACAACTTAAATGGATCCCTCATTAAAACCAGTGACTGATTTAGACCATTTTGCACAGACACAGAGAAAATGACAGCAGAGCGGGTAAACATGTTTACTGGTGCTGTTAAACACACGCCCTCTGTGTCTGTGCACTGCTGGTAATTAGATTTCTCTTCTGCAGCTGATGTTGCTGCTGCAATAAAATTATCCCCATGGTGCTTGAAAAGGAACAACCCAATCTGTTGCACCTAAACACACACACTCACATGACAGACAAAATAAAAAGCCTAGAAGTGATTGAAAACTGCTTTTACAACCATTTGTAAAACCTTTTTGACCTTCAGGTTGCAAGGATTCTTGGAGTGACTCCAGAGCTGAAAGGTCAGATGGGCGTGACGTCTGGCCTGGAGCTGGTGACGCTGCCACACGGTCGACAGCTCAGACTGGACCTGATGGAAAGGTACGCGTCACACACACACAGGGCAGCACAAATGTTCCATTGCAGACTCAAAATGAGAAGACAAACTGTAACTTCTTAAGTTTTTAATTAACAGCCACATTGAAGATGTTGTTCACATGGTAAAAGTTCACAGAGATAAAGCTCACAGTAAATACACAGTGGAATAATTTGAAATTTAGGGAAATTGGTTATTTTCTTTCTTTCTTAGCAAGAGTTAGATGAGAACACTGATACCATTCTTATGTCTTGATGGTAAATCTCTGCATGGAGGCCACAACCTGTGACAAGTAGATGTTAGTTATATGTTATGGGGTTAGGAAAACGGCTGATACATCAGCCTGCTCTCAACAGAGTTGAGATGAGGTCAGTAGTAATTCATACCTGCTGATTCACTGTCCAGTCTCGTCTGACAAAACCATACTGATATTGATGATCCTCCTCCTCCCTGTCAGACACCACACTATGGCGATAGGCGTTGCTGTGGATATTCTGGGATGTACAGGCAGTGTGGAGGAGCGGGCGTCTACATTAAATCGCATCATCCTAGTCGCGTTGGAGCTGAAAGACACGGTGGGCGACCTGTTTGCTTTCACAGCCCTGATGAAGGCTCTGGACCTGCCACAGGTAAACACACACAATCGTGTTTCCTCACTTTGGAGGGCACTGGCTTGCAGTCACCCCCCTGGGGACTCCACGGTGTGACTGTGTAAACAGATTTACAGTATATGACTCCACAACATGGACACACACACACACAGAAACAAATGAAACATACATAGTATTATGAAGTATCACCTCGCTTTGAATCAAAGAAACGTGGCTGCTGATATGAAACAACTGGACCAGTATTTAAAAATCACATTTGAACATTTCAGCCCGTTTGATGTAAACTGATCCATCTTTTATTGCATCTCTGGTAGTTTTTCAAAAACATATAAAAGTGAGAGTGATGTTTGGTGGAAGCACAGCTGACATCTGTTGTGTGCTCACAGATCAGTCGTTTGGAGGAAACCTGGACGACTCTACGAAGGAACTACACACAGACCGCCATCAGCTATGAGAAAACACTCAAACCTTTCTACAAGAATCTGTACGAAGGCACAGGTATAATAAACAAATACAGGGTACCATTTAAATGAAATGGAAGCTGTCTCCTATGGCTCCAGAGGGAGTTTCACAAAGTCCAGTAAACATCTGTTGGGGCTGAAGGCCACATCTGGGGAAGTGTAGCTGGAAAGAGATGAGGTTACCGGTTATAACCTTCAGTTATAACAGGCTAAACATGCACTGATGCAAGATTATAACTAAGTAGCAGACAATTATGCAAATGTGACTTTAAAGACAAACAGAAGCAAACTAAAACTAAACATTAACTGAAACATCCCTCACCTGCCTCCTCCTGCAGCCTCCTCTCCACCAGTGGTCTGCGTCCCCACCCTGCTGCCTCTCCTCACGTTGATGGAACGTCCGTCGGTTACACCCGAGGGGCCGGAGCTTTGGGAGACCAGCGACCAAGGCTGTGACATCATGCTGCACCACTTGGAGGCTGCACGCCAGGTCGCACACAACACTCAGACCTACACATCCAATGCACAGGAGATCTTGCAAGGTAAAAGCAAAAAAAAAAAACACACCAAGTATTACACAAAGACACTTTTTGTGAGTTTAACAGAAAATGTTACGTGTGTTTAGGGTTTCAGTGTGATGAAGACCTGCTTGAGGTGTTTAAGACGGACTTTCAGCTGCGATTGCTGTGGGGAAGCCGCGGGGCTTCAGTCAACCAGACGGATCGCTACAGCAAATTCAACCTCATCCTCACTGCGTTGTCACGGAAACTGGAGCCACCACCCAAAACACAAACCTTAATCTGAGCAACACCGCTCATACAGACTCCTTTTCACTCAGCAGAGCAGAGCAACATGCCTCCAGATGCATCAGACACCAGCTCTGAGAAAAACACACAAAGCACTAAGTTACAAACAATCAGACAGCAGCCTGTTGTCATCAACATACAACTTCAGTAGCTGTAGTTGCCCAGAAACCAATAAACTCACTAGGTAACCAAGCAGCTTTACAGCCAGTGAAACTGTACTGCTCATTTTGATGCCTGTGGAAACAGTATTTCTTCAGACAAATGGAAGTCTGATGACATACTTTGTTTTTATTTGTTTAATATTTTACACAGTCTGCTAAAGAATTTTGTCTTTTTTGTTTATTCAGTCAAATTTCAAGTCATAAATCACAAATTTTGCTCAATGGTCTTTACAATCTGTAGAGCATAGGACACTCTTTTTCTTTAGACCCTCAGTTCATATAAAGAAAAGCTCCACCAAAAACTCAAAACAGCTAAAGCCTCAGGGCAACTGAGGAGAAATCGTCAGGAAAAGGGAGGACAAACTTTTTTTTTTATTTTTTATCCATTTTAAGATGAGTATGAAACAACAAAATGTGAGAAACTTGAAAGGATCTGAACTTTCCGTAGTGACTGTAGGTGTAGGGA